TTGTTCTATGTTCACAGACATCACAATCCTCTTCTGCCTTGTCTGGTTTCTGCCCCCCTGATGATCTGCTCTGCATTATTTCTGATCCATTCTGCCAAAAGTAAGTTTTGCTGCACCGACAGCCTTTTGTTTTGTTGTTAAAAGAAATAAATTGTTTTGGTTTTTGAACTCCTGCCTCACTCATCTCTCTGCAATTGGGTTCCAACCTCGAGGATCGTGACAGAAATTACATGTAAAAAAATTGACAAAATGTCGGTTATTGTAGAAAATCTCATGGAGATGATTACAATTGAAATAATAAACACTAATTCAAAAAATATAATGATAAGTTGTGTATATAGATCACCTGAGTCAAATATAGAACTATTCAATGATCACATTATGGAGATGCTGCAGGGGAGTATTAATAAAAATGTGTTTTTGTGTGGAGATTTCAATATCGACTTACATAAAAATACAGACTCAAATAACATCAGTACATTTATTAATTCAATGACTAGTTTAAATCTGTATCCATTAATATCTAAACCGACAAGAATTACCACTCACAGTACCACTACAATTGACAATATCTTCACAAATATAACTAGTACAGAGATTATGGGGGGAATTTTAATTACTGATGTAAGTGACCACTTACCAGTTTTCACAATTTATGGTAAAATTCATTGTCATATAAATAGTGATAAAAACAAGAGAAAAATAATAAATACATCACAAAAAGCCTTGAATAATCTAATTAACGATTTACAGGAACAGAATTGGAATATGGTGTATGTTGATGATGTTAACATAGCATATGATGTATTTATGAATACCTTGGTAGCATTGTATGAAAAACATTGTGTGCAAAAAAATTATACAAAACGAAATACTGTTGATAAACCATGGATGACGAATGGGTTGAAAAATGCTTGTAAAAAAAAGAACAATTTGTACTCGCGCTTCTTGAAATTGAAAACAAAAGAAGCAGAAGAAAAGTACAAAAAGTATAAAAATAAACTGGTTTGGATCATAAGAAAACATAAGAAAGAACATTATAGTAATTTATTATACAAAAGTCATGGTAATATGAGAACAACATGGCAAATAATGAATAGCGTTTTAAAAAATCATGAATCCAAATCAAGTTTCCCACAATATTTTGTAAAGGATGGTACTGATATACATGACCACAATGTGATTGTAAATGAGTTTAATAATTATTTTGTAAATGTTGGCCCAAGCCTTGCAAACAAAATACCTAAAGTATATACAAACGTGAATCACAAAATTACAAGTAGTACTAATAGTATTTTTTTGGAAGGAACTAACAAAGAAGAGGTAATGTATGTTGTAAATAACCTTGCAGATAAAAGATCTAAGGACTGGGTTGACATGGACATGATGTTTGTAAAAAATATAATGAGTTATGTCATCGAACCGTTTATACACATCTGTAACCTGTCATTCAAATCAGGAATATTTCCAAATAATATGAAAACAGCCAAGGTGGTTCCACTTTTTAAAAATGGGGACAAACGTGACTTTAATAATTATAGACCAATATCACTGTTACCGCAATTTTCAAAGATTTTGGAGAAACTATTTGGGATCAGATTGGATCGATTTATTGATAAACAAAACATACTAAGTAATAGTCAGTATGGATTTAGAAAAAACAATTCAACATCAATGGCACTTGTTGAATTGGTGGATCATATAACAAATACAGTTGATCAGAAGAAGAGTTGTATTAGTATTTATGTTGATTTAAGAAAGGCATTTGATACTATAGATCATGGAATTCTTCTTGATAAACTATATAAATATGGTATTAGAGGGACAGCATTAAAGTGGGTAAATAGTTACGTGGAAGATCGAAAACAATTTGTTCAAATACATGACATAAGATCCAGATTTAGTAATATCACATGTGGAGTGCCTCAGGGCTCAGTACTTGGACCCAGGTTATTCAATTTGTATGTAAATGATTTGGTTGATGTGTCAGACCTTTTTAAATGTATTTTATTTGCAGATGACACAACATTTATTTGTAAGGGTGATGATGCAGAACAAATGCTGGAGATAATACGGTCAGAATTTGTGAAAATCCAAAATTGGTTTCTTCTAAATAAGTTATCATTAAATCTGGATAAAACCTATTATATGATACACACTAACAGAAAAACTGATGTTCACGCACAATTTTTGATAGATGGAATTGAAATTTGTAGAGTTAGTGAAGTTAAATTTTTGGGTGTTATTATTGATGAGAACTTAACATGGAAACCTCATATAAACAATTTGAGAACAAAAATATCTAAATCGATATCAATTCTGTATAAAGTAAGAGAGTTATTCAATGATAATGCAATGTTTATGTTGTATAATGCAATAGTTGTCCCTTATTTGGTTTACTGTATTGAAGTCTGGGGTAAAGCGTGTAAAACTATAACTAATCCTTTGTTCATTTTACAGAAAAGAGCTGTAGGAATTATTATGAAAAAAAACTATAGATATCCGTCGAATACTTTATTTCATCAACTGAAAATTCTGAAATTCTATGATTTGGTTAATTATAACATTTTGTTGCTTATGTATAAGGCACATATAGGCATTTTGCCCGTTACTATTCAGACGAATTTTGTTAAAAGAGAGAGTGTATATTTTCTTAAAGGAATTGAGATGTTTGTGAAGCCTTATTTTAGTACCAGTTTGAGGGAACGATCCACAATAATTCAGGGGATAGGATTGTGGAATGGTTTGGATGATAACGTTAAAAATGCCAGATCACTGTTTACATTTAAGAGATTGATAAAGACAAGTTTCTTGAAAGAATATGGAAATCATTAATATAAATCTACTTAAGTTGTTGTCTGATTTGATTTAGACGTTTGAGTTTTATATTTTAATTTCACTAAATCGTTATTGTCTTTGTGAATTACATTTAAATTTAATTTTGTAAAAATATCTTGATTTACATTAGAATTAAGTAAAAAAGGGGCAGTTTTCATAAGACTAGTTCTTCTTCTGCCACCTTTCATTTTATTTAAATTATTATTTTTTTTTATATTGTATGTATATTTATGTGTATATATATATATATATATATATATATATATATATATATATATACAGTATGTATATGTATATGTGTACATATATGTTTATGTATACTGTATATGTGTTTTTTAAATGAAATGAATAAATTAATTAAAAAAAAAAAAAAATAGTTCTTCTCTCTCCCTTTCTCTTGTTTGCTTCTGCTCGGCATACATGGCCCCTCCTTTTCAACTCATTTGGGATTTGGGGCTCTAGTTGAGATTTTATCTGAGCTTTTGAGACATTCATCAGTGGCTGCCGATTGTAAAAAAAAAAACAAAAAAAAAACTTGTTATGGTTACGCATCATAACAAATTATTATTATTAGTTCCCATTAAGCCTCGAAGACTCGTTTACAAGAGAGACCTGTTGCATGCAACATACAGGCAGATGAGAAAAAGAGTACACGACGATGGAGGAAGCCAAAAAAAATTATGTCTCACACCATTTCCTGGCCAGAAAACAGTATAAAAGATGTAAAAAAAAAGACCTTTAAACATAAAGCTGGAACATACAATGGCATCAGAGGCATAGAGGTTGAAAAAGCCGGTGAGTTATCCATAAGCACTCCAGAAAGTTCCAAAGTTCTGATAAAATGGTACAGTGTCTATCAGCACCATGGTTCTGAGAAGGCCACAGATGTCCTCAGGGGGTGGGGGACAGGCAGAGCTTTTACTCTATGTTTCCTCCAGGAGGAGTTTGAGATAAATTGGCCTGTCCAAGGCCAGTGGGGAGGCCAAATTCAGATAAACAATAATTCTTTGGGGCGCTAGACTCTGTTTTCTCTCTGCCTTCAAGTTCTGCTGGTATACCCAATTGGAAAACCAAACAGCCAGATTTGTGGACATTCTGCCCAGTCTGTGCTCGATTTAACATTCTCCAAGATTGAATCCTTCATGCTGGCTAGGTCCAGGAACTGCAATTGGCCTACGATTCTCAGAAATTGTGTCCAGCTTGTGGTTGAGCTTGGTAAACACGAGTTTGAGAGCTCAAGGCACTGATTAATCCTTCACATAAGGCTGGCAGCTTTACCATGGTCGAAACTGCTGCCGACATCTTCCTAATTTGTCGATATCCAAGGTATCCACCGATTCCAAAAAGCAGAAACCCTGTTATCATAAATCCAATAATGTATACCATTTTCCACTCACTCCAGGAATCAATGACATACCCAGCAGTGTGGGTCTGTTCAGGGCATGAGGGCTCTCCAGCACCCTGTTGTCTGGTGGTTAAAAATGTATCAATTGCGTTAAGCATCTGACCAAATGCATAATAATTTTTGATTCAGAATATGTGTAAAGAGAGGTTCTGAGGTTGACAGGACAAGAGAGCAACAAAAAGCAGAAGGGAGGGAGCGAGGGTAAGGGGGACCGTCTTCGTTGAGAGCGAAAGAGAGAATGAACAAATGAGAAATAACAAATGTCCAAAAATAAAGGAGTTTCAGTAAAAATCCTTCCAGCTGCACAGCATCTGATACTAGAGGAAACAATCATCCAAAAAAAGCAATTTACATCCAGAAAAAAAGAGGAAATAAAGTTTTCAAAAGCAATATCTCTGTTGAATGTAAAAGAGCTACTCCAACATGAAGCCACCTTGAGCGGCGCCATTAGAGTTACCGGTGTTTTTTTTTTTCTTGAGTGATCCAGATCCTGTGGGCTTGACTGAAAACAATCATTGTTGGCAGATAGACTAGGCTGCCGCCACTTGGTGGTTCATTAGCAGCTAAAAACAAACACACTCTGGCACTGTGGGCAAGTAAAACAAACAACAAAAATTTGGCTGAAATAATTGCAGCAATAGCCTTCAAGTTAACATTTAAGATGTTAACAATAATGAGACCCTTTCTGATGCTGTAAACAAGCATATTTTATCTCAGTGGAAATAAAGCGATGAGTAAACTGTTACTTTATTCACAGGATTTCCCAAACCTGTTCTACAGGCAGCCCAGCAGTCTGCATGACATCCTGAGGTAAGTGGAATAAAAATAAACAAATATAAAGCATAAACAATAATAAAAATGATGATAGTTTGGCTAGTTTAGAGTAGGGGTCACCAACACAGTGCCCGCGGGCAACTGGTCGCCCGCAGGGACCACATGAGTCGCCTGGGGCGTGTTCTAAAAATAGCACTCATCATCAAGGAGCACCACCTAAAAATAATCATTAATTGTATGTTTTTAAATTTAAGTAATATTTGCAAGGATGTAGATTTGAAATTAGAATAATTAATAAAAACTTTTAGAATAAAATGTTTTACTGGAGTCAAAGTTCTGAACGATGCAGAGATGCACTGAGATCTCTGCGAGCGGCACAGCTACAAACCATTTTTACCTCCCTGAGTAGAGGGGGAAAATGGCAGAAAAACTTCCATCCATCATCCCACTTCTTCCTTTTCGGGTCACAGGGGTTACTGGTGCCCATGTCCAGCCATCGCTGTGTGAGAGGTGGGGACACCCTGGACAGGTCTCCAGTCCATCACAGGGACACATAGAGACAAACGAGACAAACAATCATTCACTCTCATTCACACCTAGGGACAATTTAGAGTTACTAGTCAGCCTAACATACATGTTTTTGGTCTGTGGGAGGAAACTGGAGTACCTGGAGAAAACCCACACAGCACAGAGAGAACATGCAATCTCCACCTAGAAAGGTCCCCGGCTGAGATTTGAACCAAAGCGACCTGTTCTCTGAGAGGCGACAGCTCTACCAACTGAGCCACCATGCCGCCGCAGAACAATTTAAGAAAACATTTTCACAGTGATTGGAAGAGGGGGGTTTAACTGTTGTGAAAGACAAATACAGGTGCTGGTCATAAAATTAGAATATCATGAAAAAGTTGATTTATTTCAGTAATTACATTCAAAAACTGAAACTTGTATATCATATCATTCATTACACACAGACTGACCCACTAAACATTAGACGTCGAATGGATATGCAGATCATGTAAACATGATTGTTAAATCATGTTTACATGATTTAACAATCATGTAAACATGATTGTTAAATCATGTTTCTTCCAACTGAGGCGGCTGTCTAAACTGAAGCCCATAATGTCCAAAAATAACCTGGAGACAGTAATACATGCATTCATTACATCTAGGCTTGATTACTGCAATTCACTCCTGTTTGGTATCAGTCAGACCTCCATTGCATGACTACAACTGGTCCAGAATGCAGCAGCCCCATTTTTAACCAGTACAGACAAAAGAGAGCACATTACACCAGTTCTGGCCTCACTGCAATGGCTACCGGTTCACTTTCGAATCCAGTTCAAAATACTCATGTATGTCTACAAATCACTGAACAGTGTC